TGTATGTAAAAATATATAAAATATTTGTAAAAAAAAAAATATATATATGTAAAATATTGATTTGGGAAAAATCTTTTGTAAAGGAATGTAATCTGATGAATATATCATTTAATGCCGCATTATTGCGCTAAAAGAGGGTGCAATTCGCTTCAAGCTAAGTGTAAATTTAATAAGTAAAAAGGTCAAATTCGGGCCGATGAGTGTATAATTGACATAATTCTTAAAATTTTTTTTCACCTGATTGCCCCAAACGAAGATGTGCTGAATAGTTGACATTTCAGTTTACACTTTTCGTGAAAATAGCTTTTTAATACTTTGCTCGTGTGAAAATATGCTATGGGCGTCTATTTTCATTTTGGAATATGCAATGCCTCCTGTAACTTAAGAATAATGAGTAAAAGTAGAATGAAAAATTAAATCAACTAAATTTTGCGTGGGCGTGTTTAATTTTTCCTAGTTGAAGAAATTGTATCTTCATATGTGAAATATGTACGTAGTACACTGGATGTTTTTTTTTTTTGAACATTCTATCTTATTTGCTATAGAAAACGCCAAACAAGTGAAGAAAAGAAAAGAAGAAAATGAAAATTGGTCACTTACCACTGGTCGTTTTCTCCTACAAAATATTTTAAAAAAATTTCAACCGAAAAATTTTTTCATACAAAAATTTTTCCGCACGAGAGCCTCTTAGTTTACACTTCGCTATAGGAGGATTTTCTGACCGATTTGGAGTTCATTTTCAATATCAACTTGCGAGAAAGAATCTTCTCAATGTTTTTGCGCAGATGTGGACATGGTCGATTTTTTCCATTATTGCAGAATGTAAAGTAAACGTAGAAAATTTCACCCTTTTTATCTTTTATAATTTAGATGAGTAATGTGCGAAAATCCACAAACTTTTGCTTAGAGAAACGGGCTTGCGTTCAGTTTATCCTTAACCGCGGACTTGTGCTCTCCTCATTTGCCTTGAGCCGTTTCCAATACCAATCTGCGTGCAGTAACTTCCAATGTTTCTACTAAATTCAAAGTCGATATATTAATTCTTATATCTTACATAAATATCATAATTTTTGCAACAAAGTGATTGCCAACACCACACAGTCTCGTAAGGCATGGTTAAATCGATTCAGAATTTAATACTTATCAAGAGTATATGTGTACATGGGATTACTGCAGCTTCCTTTTGAGTGTTGCAAAAATTGTATGACTATACGTCCATCGCTTGGTAGTGGGTATAAAAATAGTATGTGGCAGGAAGATATTTATATATTTTGAGGGTATTTTTTAATATCTACAATTTTAAAAAGAGTTTGAATTTTCCTTTAAATAGTTGTAGTAATCATTGTAATCACGTTACATACGATAAGTTGAGTTTTAATGGCCGTATATCGAGATTTCGAAAGTTTTC